GAGAACTTTTACTCGACAATTACTGTTACTTCAAAAATTCCTTAAAATACTCGGCTAACGACACATCTGCTTATAGGGTTACGCATTAAGCTATACAAAACCAAATTATCATGATCTTGCTTTGTATTATCTTATAGCACTTTTAAGAGTCAATTTATACTTGTTATGGATAACTCTATTTAAACCCTATGGTTCTGTATCTATCAATTAATTTTATAGAATTTTCGACATTATATTCAAAACAATAAAGTGGAAAATCTAAAAAAGTATGTCTCATGAAAGGAATACTTTAACGTTCTGTGTATGTATGTGTATGTATATGCAGATATGTAGATATATTCAAAGTTGATGTTTGTTTAGGGTTTGCAAGTAAATTGTTGATATATTTAGATAAACCCCTGACCTTGTGCGTGATAAGAATAGTCAACAGAACATCCGATAACGAATTAATTAAAACCAGTAGGTACCTACTAAACAGATAGTATGCTGTTTTACTTATGCCAAGTCTCAGTTATATGACGCAGAACTGACATTTATGTTTATTTTCGGTGTAGCCATTTTTGATCATTTAATTTTTTATAAAAAGAAATTTCCCCCTTTAGGATTTTCTCCTGTGTCGTGGGGTGGCTGCAAGCTAGAATCTAGTGAAAGAATATTGCCTTCCAGGTCAGGAAATGTTTAGTTATAGGGAATTCAATGGATGAAGGTGGCGAATAATCTTTCAGCAGTGATAATCTTCAGTAAAATATAATTTTCGTAATCATATTTGGATGCAATTTTCAAAAATATATTAATAACCTTTCTACTCTACTCTTTTGGGAATTAAAAGCCATAACGTTATTTTAAAGTATAATTTTATCATAATTAAAGACTCCTCTCCTCCTATGAGGGCTGATGTTCAGTCAGGGTTGCGGGTCCATCGCAATAACTTACTACTAATCAACCCAATTAAGTTTGTAGTTTGAATCTAAGTCAAACTCTTGTCTGACACGCCCTTTCGCCCCACCTAGAGCTAGAGAAATAGTTGATAAATTTTCTTCCTTCAACGAAAAAATGCATCCTTTAGTCGGCTAATTCGAGAACAGACCCTATTTTAAGACGCATATATTAATTGATTATAGCCTTGCTTTTAGATAAAGTAGAAAAAAACAAGGTTTTTATCATTTTTTGTCAGCAAACATTAACATTTGCGTATTCTGCGAGTTCTGTCCATGATTACAAGGCTGACATCATACTGATCACATTGGTAATCATATCGACGGATGATAAATCAGAATTCGAATATACTTGTCAGTTCACCACAGTACGTTGGCTTTCAGAGTTTTTAGCATTTTGCTTGTTATATATAACGTCGTGATTGACTGATTGCTGTTTTGGTCTAATAGTATTTTCTGTGATAGGGCTGCAAAAGAGCTTAAGAATCACCCGAGGATAAGGCAATTGGCGCCACCCATGGACAGATATAGAAAGCTGTAGTCGGTCATAGGAGTAACAAGTGTGTTGCAGACCTTCTAGGGCGATTAAGGGATTTAAGAAAGAAGAGTTGAACCTCCGGTGTCCTTACTCACAAGGCGAAAGAGAACAAATGTTTTTTACATCGGTTTTCTATGACCCCGTGGTATAGTTTAGTCGAGACGGACACTTCAGTCGAGCTGACCCATTTGTGCTCAAGCGTCACTCTTAAACGTTAAAAGTGCCTACACAATTTCTTATCTAGATAATATTTAGAAGATACCTTAGGTGAACTCTTATCAATAACAATTTTCTTAAATAATTATTTCTTCAATAAAATTTTATTCAATACCAGGATCAAAGAAAGTACTATTTATGTTTTGGAAAATAGCTGATGTCATGACTTGTTTTAGCCTTAAATGTGTTGTATTATCTGTTATATTATTAGTAATACTAATCATTGTCACACTAGAACTGTCAATGTAATTGTCATCCTTTAACTATAAACAAGGTGGCCGAGAGAGTGTCGGCCATTGACAAAGTAACTCTGGTGCAGTGAGCTGCCCGACTGTGTACTTGTGCTGTAAGTCAAGTATCCACGATCTAAGTCTTTTAATCATAATTATTACAAAATGTAGGACTAGAATTAAGTATAAGACTCACTACTTAAATGAGAAAATAACTGATTGATTCTATCAGAACGGCTTCTATAAAGAGCAATGTACGTAGGTACCACATTTTGGTTTAGGACAAGAGGAGGAACTTGGTGGTATTAAATCAGTAAAAGTTTGACTCTCCATCTCGCCTCATCAGGGTCAGAAAAAGAAAAATACTACTGAAATAAAGTTAACGGGTACAAGACGTTATGACATATCTTCGGCACGAACGGGTCGGCTCGACCGTAGTGATACCAACAACCACAGCGTTGTGTTTCGCCGTTTGAGTGAGATTACCGGAGGCCCAATCCTTCCCCTCCCCTATACTCCTCAATACCTAAATCTCTAAATCCCTAATCCCTGAAAGGTCGGCAACGCACTCGTAACTCCTCCGTTGTGGGTGTCCATGGGCGGCGCTGATTGCTTACTACTGGTAATCCGGCTGCTCGTTTACATAAAAAAAAAACATAAGTTAACGTAATATTGTCATGTCTGCTGTAATTTTGTTACTTAATCCACGGAATAAAAAATGATTATTTCTTATATTCAGTGGTTAGTTCACCTCTGAATGGCAAACGAATGTGATATCATAATACCATAGTAACTAACTCATTGCTAATATATTGTTCATCCGAGAGTTTTGGCTGAGGATCAGCTCAAGGTCACGAAGGTCTTGTTAACTTACGCAACAGTTTAGTAGTACAAGAATAATGCCTGAATCGCTTTTTATACACGAGAGCGCAGATTCGAAAATTGACAAGTTCTGATGTGAGTTTTCCTGAATCATTATGTACTTTTTAAGATTATATTTTGACGTAAGCAAGTGTGCAGGTTCGTAACCTTACAAGTACCAATATGACTACTTCCGAGTAATATGTACTTTCTAAGATTATTTAGACACCACGGACATGAAGGTGAAGGAAAACATTATAAGGAAGTCTGGACCTATAATTCCTAATTATAGTAGTTTGAAAACGCCAATCCGCCTTAAGCAAGCATTGTGTTTAATGCTCAAAAAACCTTCTCCGTATGAGAAGAGGCATTCGCACACCAGTGAGCACTTATGATGATGACGATTGACCTACGGGGAAATGAAACATCTTGAGGAAGCCTATACTTATAATTCACGTGTTGGTAAATGCTCAAAACTTTTCTATGTGAGAAGAAGCCTTTACCCTTCTGTAAGTGCTTATAGGCTGTGGATGTGATGTGAAAACAAGCCTTAAGCCTAAAGAACAAAAAGCCTTCACTAGTCAGATTAAATCAAACAAAACGACGGCTTCGTCTTATGCAACGTCTTTGAAAGAACTGTAGGCAAGGACACTCCATCCTTCAAGATATATATATAACATAGTACATACACACATAGTATGTATACAATTGTATATATCAAATGTATTATCGAGGAAAAAGCAAAAAATCAAGTTTCTTAAGAATAAGACAGAGCGTTTGGGCATGCGCGCAAATTTAACCACGCCTCTAAAAGAGCGAGATAAAGGCTTATTCTTGTTTCAGTCCTCAAAGCCTGAAAATAAGATTTCAGGAGATTGATTTCAGATAAAGTTGATGTTAATCGAAATAAAAGGTTTGTTGTGTTCTGTTTTTTTCTGTATTTTATAGTTTTCTAGTTTATGTTGGCGGTCGATGGAATTTTTCGTTATTTTTTAGTTAAGCCGATTTGGTATTAAGGGTTTTTTGTCTTATTTTTGAGATTAGTTTCAGAGTATGCTATAGTTGTTCACTGAAAAAAACCATCATAGAACATGTAAATAATTTGTTACAATTCCATCAGTAAAAAACATACTTAAATGATAAAAAGTAAAAACTTTTTACAGAACCATTCTCATAAAACTCAAAGGGTACCTACAGTCAGTATTAAACATCATCAGAACTGATTAAACATTAATTGTTATAATAAATTAAATATAAGAATAATAACCTAATATACTGCCCCAAAAAATATAAAAATAAAAATAAAATAAACAATAATTAATCACCCATTTATTTATAATTTCGTAAAAATTTTAATGTAAAAATTAATTTACCTTTTGACGTCCGATAAAAATAAATCTTTAATCTTTAACTTATGACCTTTAGGCGATAAATACGGTTTTAATTTATTTTCGTATCGACACTATTAACGTTTTAATTAAAATTATATTTCAAAAACATTTTACAGAGACACTATATTCGATAGGAATTTTCCACAAACAGATTATTGAATTAAAATTGTTGTATATGAATATATTCATATTATGTACTTGTAATAAACAAAACAAGAGAAGAAATAATTCAAATGAATTCTGAAAATTATATTTTACCATTCAAATAATTATTATGTGAAAATATTTAATACACAGATTTATATTTAAACGCTCATTATGTATATTATACGAGGTAATTTCATATTAAACATTATAGGAATACTAAAATCATATTATTTCATTGGAAAATACATTTTATGCACTAACGAAAGAAAAATAAAATTTTCCACTTTTCAAGTGATATTTTCACTGAAACACCACAGACTTTCACTTTCTTATTAACACTCATAGTCACATCGGACTATCGTTTCAGGATTTTTCTCGTGAAAACTTGAATTCATTACAACGTCGAACCAAGCAAAGTTGAGCTTTTAATTAAAGATATTCAGTGGAAACCCGCCCCTGAAGCCTTAACTCACTGAGACGTGGTTGGCTTATTTTTTTTCAGCACACTCATTCCCGCCTCGCGACCCTCCCAAACAAACAGCCGAGGACTTTGAAAACATTTTTTTTGGAAAGCAACTTTATGTTTTATCTTCATGGGATAAGATTGAAAATTGTTTGCGAGGGCGGGTTGTATACGTCATTGTGTGATAGTAATGAGAGTTTCAGTTCATTTCATGAAAGTGGAGACTGGCAGTCGGGAAATACAGTCAGTTGGCCGCGAGCTTTCGCGCGTAAGGACGTGCGGGGTGGCAGTTTTTGTCCCTTCTCGGTGTACGCGGAAAACTTTACGTCGATCGTGTGATTATTGTATTGTGTGTGACGATTTTTTTCTTTTTATTTTTCTACGCCTTTGTGTGTGTATTTTATTTTTGTGTGATTGGTGGAGATATTGTTTCGGAGGTAAGAATTAAAGAGGTTTTGTTTGAGTTATAAATTGTGTACTTTTGATCTAAATTGGTTTAAGCAGTAAGTATATTTATATTTACTGCTAAATAATATTGAAGAGAATGTCACGGTTCCTGATGACTTTTAATATGTGAAAATTTTATGAATATATTTATTCTCCGACATGCATTTTTGCAAATTATACGACATTAAAATTAAATAGTAATTGCTTTATGAGATAAAATTAATAATTAATTATATTAACGAGTTTTATGAACATTTCTTCAAAGCCGTTATTGTTACGATTACTTAAAAATATGTTTTTTTATTACTTTAACAGTGAAAGTAAAGCTATAACTTTATTGATTAATTTATTCCAAAATTGACAATTATTTATTTAATACTTTACTCATTTTCTGATTTCTATTTTATATAGTGTTATATTGACTTATCGATGCACATGTATGCAGTGATTAAATCGATTTTACCTGCTATTTCGAAATATTAAACTTTTTTCATAAATTTTACTGGACATAAAAAACATACCCATCATGCAACAGTTTAAAAGACATTTATTTTTAAAAATACATCACCACGTTACATACATTTTATTTACTTAAAATAACAATTAAAAAAAAAGTCTACAGCTTCTTTCTGTGTTGGTCCCGTGGGACCACCTTGACCGCCACCAACGAAAATTCTGCTAAATGGTGCACAACAGAAATGACTATAAATAAGCCTCTGTTGGTCCCCGCCTGCGATGCTTTCCATCAACATTTATAAATTATATTCAGTAAATTTGTATTGTGGGGCTTGTTTTACTCTTTTTTTAGTGTGCAGTCGGGTATTTTGTTTTTTTAATAATATTTTTTTAAATTTTATATTTGAATGCCTCGGACATTATTATAAAATAATAATGCTTTCTCTTTACTACAGATACGAGTAATATAAAAAAAAATGTCCGTCCGAACAAATCGAATAAGACTAAACCTTAACTCAATAAACTAAAAACCTTACATTTACAGAACTTCATACGTAAAATGTAAGTAATATTTTTTTCAGAGAATTGTTACTGTTCTGTTTTGTTTAATTTAAATTTATAAGATGTTCTACACAGACTATTAAGTATTCTAATTTTCTTAATTATTAAACATTATTACTAGCTTAACCAGCGAACTCTGTACCACGTCAAATATAACTATTTGTTACCTTTAAAACCTAAGTAAAACTAATAACAAAATTATTCAAAACAGACAAGCCTTCCTTTAGTACCGTTAATTAACAGCAAACCATTTTTATACAAGATAATTAATGTCTATTGATTCCTAATATGTTTATTATAGTTTGCTTTTCTCCCTAAATCACTGGTATGATTAGGAAAAAATAAGTTGTTTACTTAAATTATTCTCTATTTAAAATATAATATTAAAATATAAAATTATAGTAGTATGTCTATGATTAGGAGTACTTTTTAAAAATACTCCCAATCATATTTAGAACTAAAAATCATAAGCTATTAAAACATCGCTCAATTACGAAAGCTACGGTTCCAATGGGCCTGCTTCGACTGGCCACGGCCTCAAAGACAACTGGCGTTAAAACATAATATCACATCATTAGCCTATACCTAAGTGCCCACTGCTGAGCAAAGGCCTCATACCCGGAGAAGGTTTGAGCATTAACCACCACGCTTGCTTAAGGCGGATTGGCGATTTGAAACTTATAATTAGAAACTATAAGTTAAGGTTTCCTCACGATGTTTACCTTCACCGTATGTCAGTGGTGTCTAAATAATCATAGAAATACATATAACTCGGAAAAAGTCACATTGGTAATTATTGTATGAGACGCGGGTGTCGTAACCTCTGGGCCATCTCGGGCGATTCAATTTTTCGCCATGTGTGTGAGTGAGGTGCTATGGGAGGTACAATTTTACCTAATCCTCAAATCCCACCGAATTATTACCAACAAATTTATTACCTGTTCGGCTGTTCCAAAAAACAATAAAGTTAATACTGGTTTTCACACGTCTATACGCAATTCCCTACCTTATCACTTAAAAATATGGTTCCTATTGCATTGTCCTTATTCTATAACAACATAACAAGCAGATGCAGTAAATTTAGCTAATGAAGTGACTACTAGTCTCCCCACAATATCTAAAGTTATCTAGAACTATTTAGGAACAGAGCCAAACTTGCATTTACGCTACAAATGTAGAAGTTGCTTGGTATTTGTGCTCGGGAATAAGCAATTTCTGAATCTTGGACAATATTGACAATAGATGTTGTTTTGTTATCATTTTTATTTTACATCGTACGTTTTAGTTTTATAAGGGATAGATAGAGATATTAAAATCTCAGCTTATTGCGTGACGCGACGGGCACGCTGCTAATGACTAAGACTATCGTTTATTTTTGTGAGGGGAAAATCATCAAATGACTTCTCCCGCCCAGGGTCTTGCGGGAGTGTCAGACTCTTACTGACTAAAAACTCACCCGTTCTTTCTCCTGCTCTGGGCTGAGGCCGCGGTGCCTCATTGCGCTTACCCCTCTACCTTGGTTGAACATCAGCCCTATAGGGCCCCGTCTGTGGGGGTCTATTGGCTCTTTTAAGGCGCGCGCGGAACGCTACGCGCCGTACTCTCGGGTTGGTTCTGGTTGGCCAGCGAGCTATCCTTACTTGAAGTCCACAGACCCGCGCTTACGGTGGCTGGACATCAATCATCTCTCGAGTAAGAATACCGTTGTCACTTGATACTATGTAGTAGAGTTTTTCTCAATTAAATAACGTAAGTAATTCTTTTCAATCAATAAGTATGTATTACGATAGTTTACTATTTACAAACATCAGTATACTCAATTTATTAAAAATGTTTATCCCCACAAATAATGTACATGGAAGTACAGTCGAAAATAAGTTTATATTTTTAGTCTCATTACCTTCCCCTTCGGCGCATTAAAAATGTTAGGAAGTACAATTAAATGGAACTGTGCTCGCGTCATCAATTTCTTTTATACATTACTAGCTTCTCCCACGCGGTTTCACTCGCTGCTCTGATCCATTTGATAGTACCGTAATGTTTATGGCCTATAGCACTCGGGTATATTGTAGCTATCAATAAGTGAAAGAATTTTGGAAATCCGACCAGTGGCTCTCAAGATTACCTCCTACATACAAACTTATAAACTCACAATACTATAATTACTTAGTATAGATAGATAACCGATGGCGACATAATATAAACTTATTATGTTATCCTATTGTTATTATTACACTAATTATGCTCGCATTTAAGTGACTATTAGTCGACGGCTTCATCGAGATTTTTTTATATAGGTATAGTGTAAAATAACAATTACTACGAGTATTATCTGTGGACCATAAAGAAAGCATTCATTAGTTAAAAATAATTGTTTTGCTACAGTAAAAACAATATGAATTTCTACCACTTGGTGCATGTAAACACGCTTTAATATTATGCGTTATGTAATGCGTGCACAAAAACGCAAGAGAGTATCAAACATCTATAGATATCAAAAAATGATCGCGTTTATAACATTAGTAGGATTTTTCTAAAGCCGTCGGAAAAATTACACATTGCTAATCAATCTACCAGTGAATTTTTTTTTTTTTTTTTATGTGATAGGACGGCAAACGAGCAGACGGATTACCTGATGGTAAGCAATCAGCGTCGCCCATGGACACCCACAACAAAGAAGGAGTGAGTTGCCGACCTTTTAGGGATTGGGATTTTGGGGATTTAGGGATTGGGAAGGTATTGGGCCTCCGGTAACCTCACTCACACGGCGAAACACAACGTTGAGGTTGTTTCACGCCGGTTTTCTGTGAGGCCGTGGTATAACTCCGGTCGAGCCGACCCATTCGTGCCGAAGCATGGCTCTCCCACACTTAATAATTATAGAGAAAACAACAAAAAAGATTACTGTAGGATACATACCCATTAGTAAAATCCAAGCGATGTGTCTATATCAAAATTAAATGCAAAACGAATTCGTGTTACTCAACGCGGGAAATGAATTCGGTGTAATCAGATCGAATGCGGTCATTTATTCGTTTTTACTCAAGAGTTGGTAAAGCGGGACTGGTCTCATTTTTTCATGTATTTTTTGGACACGCTTTTTCCCGGTTTTCGTTTAGATAGCGAACGTATTTCCGGAATGGATAGCGTTTATGTATGTTAGTACTTTTCTCCGACTTCTAACGTGCATAAAAATTTAGTTTTTGTGTGAAACAAAGTGACGGCTTTCCTGATGGTAAGCTATCTGCACCACCCATGGGCACTCTTAACACGAAAGGAATTTGCCGGAATTTTGGGGATTAGGGTATCAGAGATGTAGGGATCAGGGCGGTATCGGGAGAGTGAAAGGTTATGGCCTCCGATAACCTCACTTACAAGGCGAAACACGGTTTACTTCGAGGCCGGTATCATTCTGGTCAAGCCAATCCATTTGCACTGAAGTTTGGCTCTCCAAGATGTTTAGTTTTTTGAATACGGAGCGGTTCTTCTTCATCTTGTAACGTCGGCTGTGCATGTTCTGTTATACACTCTAAAAAAAAAATTCTATCCTGTAAAAGAATTTTAGAATTCTGTTTCACAAAAATTAACGCAGTTTCGTCCGTCCTATTCGTATTAAACATGTTTAACTTAAAATAAAACATCATAATGAGTAACCTCTTTTGTGATATGGCTGTAAGACTCAAAGTAAACGAATTTTAATTTTCAGCTTGGACACTATATTATTTTTTCGTGTTTTGTATAATATTGTCAATTATTTTTAAAACATATCTTTGTTTTGTTAATAATGTTATGGCATGTAACTTTTCAAATATATTGTACCTAAAAGTATGTAATTAGTTTATTTAATAAATTGCACTATCAGCATTTTGACTCCATATAAATAACAATGTTCATCAAATTATCAACCTTGTCTGAACTCCATACACATTTTTAGCAAAATACCAAACTATTCAAAGTAGAAACATTGAAGGCA